GATGGGTACATGTGTAACGGCACCTTATAACAAAAATTAAGCAATAGTCTACATGCTAGCGTGGTGTATTACAACTGGTTCTCAGAAGTCATATAAATTCATCTGCGGTACCCTGTTGTCTTGGTTCGAAGACTATCTTACTGACTGCATCCAAAGGGTCACCGTTCTCGGGATTAATTCTAAATCTCTCCCTGTGTTATCAGGTGTGCCGCAAGGATCAATACTTGGTCCACTCTTGTTCCTCAAGCATATAAATGATTTTCCTGACGTGGCGTCCTCAATGTCTGTTGCTCTCTTGCTACCGGTCAATCGAAAGCAGGGGATGGTGCTTGCCTACAGCAAGACCTCGACCACATTAACCAATGGTGTCATCTCTGGCAAATGGAACTAAATCAATTCAAGCGCGGGCTACTTTCTATTACCACAAATGCTGGCTCGTTTCACTTCCCCTATCAATTACCCGATGTCCAAGTTAAGAGGATGGAAACTCAGAAGAACCTTGGGGTTTTAGTTACTAAACATCTGAAATGGAACTCCCACGTGTTGGCAGCTTGTTCGAAGGCCAATAGGATGCTTGCCTTTATCCGGAGATCAGCTTTTAACACTCATGACCAGCGAGCTCGCAAGTTACTTTACCTGTTACTAGTTCGTAGCAACCTCACATATTGCTCGCAGGTGCGGGCTAAGTTAGTTATAAGCAGAGGCTTTTGAAAATTGGGTTATTACCTTTATTGGCACGAATTTTTAGATTTGGTGCCTGTATTAAAATATTTAGTCAGTCTATCGGATCTTTTTATTTCAGTCATGGATTCCACTAGACCCATGGCGCACTGTCTCCTTCAAGGGTACGCCGGTTGAATACGGTTATGGCCAACTCCGCCTCCGTCTCCGTCTCACTAAGTCTGTTTATGATGTGGCACTAGTCAGCCATTGAACAGCTTGCTCGATCGGATGTGTTGATTTTTTATCGATGTCCTCCCCAATTCTGTTTTTGCATTTCCGTTTTTTTTTCCTGTCGTTTCTAAGGTATTATTATTCTTGTTAGTTGTATCAGTAATTTTCCTTTTTCTTTTTTTTTTGGACCTCGTAGTGGAGCTTGCTCTGTGAGTGATCCAGGCCTTTTAGCGAAGTTTAAAAATAAATAAATGGGACGAACTGCTTACCACCAGCCCAGACCTCTCCGTTATTAGTATCTAGATTCATATCAATGAGATAAATATCCACTGAATTCACCAGAAACGCGTTTATTTCAACCCAATTCTGAAAAAATTTTGCGTAATTTTATCATCATTCTGTTAGTACATTTGTACTGCTGGGAGAGACAGTTAACAGTGGGAGAGACATAGTGACACTACTGACAAAGGCATGGAAGTATCTCATAGTACCTGGCACGGGATAATACGACTTTTCGTGAGTGAGCCACTTCGTAGTTCTTTCCTTCACTATGGTTCCAAAGTTTCGGGTGTAGTTCAAAGCACTAAATGTTTTGTGCTTAAAGTGAAAAGCCCCTTAGCTACGTTGTCAGGAGTGTTAAAGGCTCCACTTTGTCGCGCGAACAAAGGATTTATAGAACTGATATTTTCTATCAGCTTGTTCATCCCGTTGCGTATACGTAACAAGGAGGAGACTAAGATATTGGGTTTTCTTTTGGATACAAAAAACTCATCGTGGTGGGGCTTTAAAAGTGTGCAAATGCCCCACCCCGGGACAATAACAAAATTGCATTTTCCGGTAAAAAGCTGCAAATGTCATACCAAAACGCTTGAAACACCCTTCCCAGATCGCTCCTAGCCGCTTGTTATAATTATTGCAAAAAAGATCACATCGATGTGATGAATATCAATGACAGAACTATAAACTAGAATTTTGATACCTTTCTTCTTATCAATTGAACATATGCAAAATAATAAATGATAAACAAACAACCGACGAGCTTTAACATGAGTATTTTCTCAAGTTATGATGGAGCCGTTCCGTAATTGTCGTATTGATCACACAAAACACAAAGTTTATATTAGCTTTCTAATTTCTCACAGAGTATTTCTAGGGCTTTCTGCCTCAATCATTCGCTCACAAAGAAAGAGTCTTTTCCTTTAAATCCTTCAAACAACGCATTGGTTGTTTTTCCTCCTTGTGCGAAATGAAGCAATTTTTTAGACGGATGCAAAAACTACTTTGGGGAAGGGTGGTGATGGAGAAAAAAATCACACTTATCTTGTTAAAGCATATGTATTAAAAATATTCTTTATAGAACTATATATGGCTAGCTAAATGGGCATTTTTACGTTAAATACGTAAAAAGGAGCGATGTTAACCGCCTCAAGAAGAATCAAGATGACAAGTGCCTTGAGGGGATTGACTGAGCTATTAGCTACTGATCCGCTTTGTACCTCAAAACAGACTTTGTCGACGTTCCTTCTTGTGTCCCTCAGTAGGTACCTTTAGATCCGACGACGGCGACGGCAACGGAAACGCCACAAAAGCAATAGGTTTAATTAGCAAAACAACAACTTTGCACGTACATTATGCCGTAACTGCACGACTACGATGTGAAAATGCCTAAATTCACGATTTACAGAGGAAGTACAGAAGCAACGACGAAATTTCCTCTCTCTTTCTGAAGTTGGATATGATTCTTAGGAATGCAACTTCAGGACGGTTCACCTACATTTGACAAAGTTAGTGACTTGGAGTTATCGCGATGAAGATTGAAAGAACGCGAATTCACTTTTTCAGCGACGTTTTCTCTGCCGTCGCCGTCCTCGGATCTTAAGGTCCCTAATGTTACCTTTTCGCAAGCGTTCCTTTTTCGTTTATTTCAAAGTGTCCCAAAGACATCCAAAGGTTTTTAAAAGATATGAAACTGTTTCAGAGAGTCCGGTTAAATAAAAGCTTAATAGTTACAAACGCAACTTCAGTTGCCATATCTAATGATAACTCATATAACAGTCACTATTTTTTTTTCTGGTTTGTCCTTTATAATAATAATTTAAAGGTATTTAAATTTTTCTCCTTTTCTAATTAGCTTAAATCTCCCAGCTAATTTTTTCACTACGCGTAACGGATGAAAAAAAACTGAATTACAGACACTAACTGAGTCTGCACTGGCCAACAAAACCAGTCCAGTCAGGGACACAAAATAAATTTTTTAGTAGAGAGAATTTCACCATTAATCAGAATTGTGCAAACAGATCAGTCTATTCTTATTAGTACGCACGGGAGTTACATTTTCTTTAGCGGAAACTCGCAAAATAAAGCTTATTCTATTTGCAAAATATATATCAAAATTCTATCTACTGTACATCGACACAATAGAACCATTGCTAACTACTATTTAGCGATTATTGCTCCTTTTAATAATATCTTCTCTAAAAATTACGTCTTGGCAACGATACATAAAAATATGAATTATACATAAAAAGTATTATAAGTATAAATCTTTGAAAGCATATAAAAACCGAGCTTTACATTTTCAGTCAAATGCAACCTTCAGCTTATTTGTTCACTATCCTTGAAGGGTCTGTGTCACGGTCATGTTCATGTGCGGCTACAATTGACACAAGAAAGTGGGTGCACGTGACATGACATGACACGCACGTGTAATAGCGACGACCCTAAGTTGATTCACTAACTTTTTTTCCACACAGATGGCGGTACCTCTGCTAAATATATCTCACTGTTCGGAGTGCCATTTCGCCAAGTTTTGCTACGTGTGGAAAGGAAATTTCGGTCACTTGTGCAAGTTCGGGGAAAATTGTTGGCGGCAGAGACGCCAGCGACTGCGCGAGAGGACGCTGGCGGCTTCGCTGCCAAAACTTTACCCCGAACTTTTAGGTATCGTTCAGGCCTTGTGTTCACCTTTCCTCGAAGACATCAAGTTTCTATGTAGCCTTCATACACAAACAAATGTGCTGTGACAGCCGTTCACAGATGACGTACAACTATCTGTATACCGTAATACCACTTTAAGAGTTTTCAGAAGATCGATGAAACTAAATATTTCCCATCATCGACGACAACTTTGAAAATTATCCTGTTGAATCAAAAATCAAAACGCCGAACATGCGCAGAAGGCTTAAACAGGTTATTAAATACATGAAGATGCATCCTGTGCCTCACTGGCAATAACGTCTCATTATACTTTTTTCCAAAAATATATAATAATTTCATTTTCAAGAACAGACTGCCTAAGTTGGAATAAGCAGACTGCCTTGCTTTTAAGGAAACTTCAGGAATTGATTGACCAAATTCTAACGGCTAAGAAGAAAGATCCAAATTGATTTAATTCAAACCTATTTTTAACCTAACTGCCTAACAGTTGTCCAAAGCAATGTGTACTACAAATCGCCAAAAAGGCTGCTAAGCCCCTAATGTGCGGCCCAAGAATTGATATTGCTATAGTATGCTCTACTGAGCCGAACACCCTGTGTGCAAAGCCTCCTTTTGCTTTCTTCAGTAAAGTTGAGGTCGCCCCAGCCCGAACTTCTGGACTAGTCAATCTTATTCTCTCTCGTCAAACTGGTTTTTTTCGAGTGCGAACAGCGATTTAATGGTGAACAGATGGTCATAAACGATCACGCTGTAGCAAGTACACGGTTGTTAGGTTCGAATGGGTTCGACACTATATCCTAGCAACATGCCGCGCATGCTCAACAAAGATCTTACTCGATCCATGCAGAATCAGTCTGGATCCGAGCAAGCAAAAAAAAAGGCTCTGTTGACAAGGTGTTCGCCTAATAAGCACGCATGAGCAACGAGAACGCTGACGTCACGGACGTCATAACTAGCAACCGGAAGTTTGACGTCTCGCTTGATGGAACACTTCTGTCTCACACAATGAATCTGAATGTGTTGTTTTGACTCATGCTCTACGAATTGGCTGAGTCTGCGCACTGAAAGAGAGAAAATATCAACTTCCGGTTGCGTCCGGTCCGTCAATGTTCTCATTGCTTTAGGTCCCTAATAATGAATGAGACCCGTGAATTCTTACACAGGATTTTTTACAGTAAGTCTGCGGATCCCGCAAGCTCACATTCCACTAAAATGTCATAAACTTCTCCAACATTTAAATGACGAGAATTTGCCACAAGATTAAGAGCAACGTCGCAAGGGTTTAAAGTTCTCTTGTCGAGCTCGCGGATTTCGTCGTAAGACATACCAAGCTTCTCTGCAAGTAGTTTCCATTCGTCTCCACCTGAAATGAAATTAATTCCGTCAACTGAATTAAAATGCTCTAATACAACGCTCCAATATAAAGATCCCATGCAAGACCCTCCAAATCGCCAAAATTCGAGGTTCTCTCTCACAATAAGTAATATTTTGACTTTTTTAAAAAAGTATATATTCATCGCAATATTTTACGATATTGCAAACCTTAAAATATTTCTATACAACTCTTATCATCAATTACGAACCCTGTATTCCCCTAACCCCTCCACCACCCCCAACCCCTTGTAGGAAATTAAGGCGACAAGTGCGTCGGAAATCGCGTTTCAAGAGGCCACGATACTCTTGTCCATGTGCCCATGCGCAACTGTCCCCAATATACTGAAAGAAGCAGGTAACAAACTCAAAGCTGATTCGACGTGATCACTTCATGAAGATGATAAACTAGCTCGTACATTATTTTACTTACCGCAGAGATTGAATGTCAAGGCCTTTCTCTGCTTAAACGGGATACACCGAACATCGAGGTTTTCAGCCAACAACGGGCCTGGTGTATTGAACAGAAACACACATTTGACCATTAAGTTGGAATAATAAGTGAAGCGTTTTATTTTAAGCTCAAAGCAGCATACATTTCATTTAAGTCAACCGGTAGGAATATTGATTTTACGAGGGGAGGGGAGTGAGGGGGGAACATGGAGTTAAAACAATGCACTTATTTGAGTGTCAATGTATTTAGCACGAAAGTCCTAATTGGGGACACTATTTTTACGTCTCCTTCTAGAGATGGGACCGTCATTTTACGTGATCATCCGAGCCACGGGAAGTTCTAGCCGCTTGCAGAGCAAAGGGAGTACCGTATTTCCTCGAATAATAGCCGTCCCTCGATTAATCGCCGCCCTCAGAAGGATATATTTAAAATAATCGCCTCCCTCGAAAAATTGCCCTCCCCACCTCTCTCGCCATTTCCTCTTTCTTCTAGACCCCTCCCTGTCAAGTTGAAGTGGAGTCTGATCCAGCAGAGTTGATCAGTGACGATTCAAGCTCTGACACCGAGGATATTGACATTGAAAATTTATCAAGGAACCAAATTTGAAACACTTGAAAAGCCCATGTTCAGTTTATTTGACGTGATCATTTTCTGATTTAATGGCATAAGAAAACAAAATATTTAGGGCACGAATTCCAGTAAGCAATATTTGAAATAATCGCCACCCCTGAAAAATCGCCCCCGACTATTATTCGAGGAAATACGGTACCTTCATTTCTCACTTATTTTAAGACCCGGAGTATTGGTCCGGCCCCCGGAATCGGACCCGCGACCTCCCGCTCTGCAGTCACACGCTCCACCGACTGAGCTAACACTGCCGAAATAAAAGCAAAAAAGCAAGTCCAGGCAGATAATTTTGTAGGGTAATAAAGGTGTATAACTGATAAGCAATGTGAAAATGGTGAGTTGACAATCGCCTATCAAAGCAAAAGAAATGTTGGATGAAGTTGTATGCAGTTTCTGAACTCATTTAAACCTGTCTCGACGTTATCCAATGACACCCATTAATGTCAACTCACCGGTAGTTCCAGCGGGGACAATTGACCTCAAGTGGGTAACTATGTCCATCCTATTTTCATTCTTAGCGTTGATTGCAAGGCAACGGATCCACTGTTTGGTCTCCGCCGTTGGATCAGCTAGGGCTGCAGACTTCAACTGTAGAGTTTTTACACTTTCTTCCATCTGAGCCATAACATCCACTGCATCACACGATTGAGACCGAATGGCCTTTAGAACACCATCAGGCAGAACAAGTGATTGCTCTTTGGTTTGAAAAAAAGAACGGAGGGGATTAAAAACGGGGATACTCAGGTAATGTCCACACGAATCCAGACATTTTTGAAACCGCCTATAATTGTTTTTACCCGGGTTCGTGTGGACGGGGCCTTAATCCAATCTGGAGAACGGTGTCACAACAATGCGGTTTCGCTGAGCGGATTCACTGGTTTAGTGTGGACGGAAAGCCGACTCGTGCCAAAAAGGTATACTGTAGAAAAATACCCAGATATGTGGACGTAGCCTCAGGAGGGAGGGACACCGAAATTGAATTTCCATAATGTGACCTTTGCTTCATAACTTAAGAACGTCGAGAAGCCTCTTTTTTTGCCCAAGGGGTGCTACGTAATATTACTCTATGTCAGGCTTGTTTTTAAGCCTCCCCTCCTGATAATTTTTTTGCACCACAGTCACGAGCAGTAGACGTACAAGGGAAAAACAGCAGACATAGAGTAGGGGCCAAACTACAACATGCGCACACACCAATAATTGTTGTGAGGATGCGTCAAGTTATGGGAAAGAAAAAGACTTTTCGCAACATGCTGCGGTGACAAAATGTTTTAAGTACGCCAAAGACTTTGTTGTGAAGGGTTATGTAACATGAATTCCCCGTCAACGTAATTATAAAACTGAAGATGTACCGTACAGGGACTTTTCAACAGCTTCAGCCTCTCGCATTGACTCATACCTTTCACGTCTGTAGCGTCACATGTAAACACTTGCTATTATCGATTTAGTTTTTGAGTTATCGCTGCGACCACAAAAACAATCATGATGGTTCTATTGCCACTTTATACGGTAGACTGCCTTTGTCCGAGAAAGTATACCTTTCATTTGGTTTAAAAAAGAAGCATTGTAGATTATGACATTTTATTTTGGTTCTCGCAAACAAAGGAAACATTTTTCAGAGGGAGTGGTAGGGATGGGATGAGAAGGGGGAGGTTGTAGCCCCACGAATTTCAAAACTGTTGCATTGTCCCTGGTCAAATATCCGGAAAAGGCAAACTACGGCAACTGAAACGAATGGCTATAAATAAAATACACCAAAAAATAAAAGAAGACGTACCTTTCGTAGAGACTGCTTTGTGTTGTTCACCTTGGTTACGTCCATTTACATCTTGTTGCTGTGACGAAATATAAATGATGATTTAATGATAGCTCCGATTTTAAGCACGTCAGGTTCAGATTTAAGTAAACATTTGAGAGTTCGTCGAGGATTTCCATCTTTTTACTAGTGCAAATGCTAATGCTTTTTGTAGACAGAATTGTACAAGCAGTTTGACGGAACCTAATGCGAAAGAATTGGCATCAGTTCCTGTTACCGTTGAAAATAAGTCAACATGTAGTATATATATATATAGATATATATTCGTGAACTATAATTTGGAACGGTATATAAAAAAACCAAGAGCTGATATGCAATTTTGATGAATAATTACTTAATCACTCGTTTTTTGGAATGAAGAACAACAAACCTTAGTAAGAGAAATCCTTCTTTCTTGCTCGTCTGAAAATGAAAACCAAGGTGCGAACATCTCTTTGCAAATCCTACGATCCCCACAAACAACAGGCCTTTCACAATATGGAAGGTTTTGCATCTCTAAATCTGACAACAGATGTAAACAATCGCAGCCACTTACAAAATGTTTACGGCATTTGGAGCTCCCTTTCTGCAGAGAACACACAGGACAAGAGACACACATTTCGTATCTCATATGCTCTAACCAGAAGAACTCTTTACGCATGCATTCAAGAAACAATCTCATTTGTCGATGAATGCCACGGCTTACATTCAGATCAACTTCACAGCTAAAGCTTGCCTCGTCACCAAGAACTTCACCATCTCCAACACACAAAACTATCTCGATGGACGAGGAATGGCACAGTAAGACGAGGGAAGTGGCATTATGAGGACAGATGTGAAACAAGGCAACGTTATTGAACAGCAGAGGTTTAATAGGGCTCATCCATCTTTCTTGGGTCCACTTATGAAAAAGCAGAATAAGTCGTGAAAATAGGCCCGGCGGCACTCTGCGTGATTCAAACCTCACAAACAGTGAGGGAATTTGCGCAGAAGCAAGGAGCTCAAGAACATCACTTGTTGGGGGTGACCTCAGCATGGATGGTACAAGGTACTGCTCTTTGGTCCCTTCTGATGGCCATGGACAAAGCAGACTAAATCTCTCCATTATAGCAATGAGGCTCTTGCAGGTTTCTTGGTCATCAATGAAGCGTCCCCATGCATGAACTAAAACCTTTCTATCTAAGACTCCAGTCGTCTCAAAATCTTTCCACAGTCTTTCAACGCTGTTCTCCGTGGTATTGAAACTTTCAACGTTATTCTCCGGGGATTGAAACTTTTGAACGTGATTACTTCCTTAAACACGTCTACAAGCCACTGTGGGTTCAAAATGACCATGCTTTCCAATTCCGGTAATTCATTAAAATTAATCAAAACTTTCTGATCGTGTAAGAAGTTAAGTACTGTTCGAAATTTCACATTGTCGTCAATCCCGCATTCATCTGAGGCTATCTGTCGTGCTTCCTCGATGGATATCCTCTCGCGGCCCTTGCTCATCAAAAGATACAGAACCTTTTCATACTTTAACCACTTTAAAGGAATTTTCTCTTTCATTTGTGGAAGCTCCTTGGCAACAGAAAGTACACTTTCTCTCAATTTTTTCACGCCTTGGCACTCATCACTGCTGCCTGACTTAGTGTTGTCTACAACAAAAAAGCCTTTGAGGAGATCGCGATAAATCTTGTCTTTCAAAGCTCCATAGACTTTTTTGGAGGGATTACCTTTCTTAGTGTAAGGTTCGTCAGCATGCGTACAAGCCAAGAAAACTGGAGGTAACGTTTCAGGCGACGAAGTTTTCTGACGGTTAGTATTTTTACTAACCAAAGAATAAATTGATGACATCCAAAAATCAAGGTAGTCGAAGTTTGTTTTTTGGCAGTCGGTGTCTTCTATATCCTCGTACATGCCTTGTTTCACAGGAGTGTTGGCTTTCTGATACGGATGACGACTGAGATCATAAGCCAAAATGTAGATGGCCTTTTCTGTCAAGAAAATTGGATGGGTGTCGTAGAAAACCGATTGTCCTCCAAAATCCCAAATGACAGAATACATGCCGTCTCCCTCCATGAACTTTGTGTTATCTTTAAGCAGTTCTTGAACCAATGCTGCTACGTTTTCTGGTACTTTTTGATGATCTTTGGAGTCTTGAGTTGATGGGTCGCTCTCAATCTGCTCTATAACTGTTGAACTGGTTTTGAGTTCCTCTGGTTCTACAGAAACTTCTGTACGTAATGAAGGGGCTTTGGCATTCTCGACTGCTTTGGAATCTCGAAATGACGGTTCGAACCCGTTACTGCTAGATTCCTCTGATCGTTCAGTGGGCGGTGAATTCGCTTCAGATGGCTCGACTTCTTTGACATCTATAACTGATGGCTTGGTCCAACTCGTACTAGGATCCTCTAAACGTTCTGTCTCCTTTAAGCCTTTGAATATATTCTGGGCTAGCTGGCGGTCTAACAAAAATTCTGGCTCTGTTTGAGTATCTTCGCTATTACTGCCTGTCCTTTTCTGGCCTGTCCTCCAGACGTCTGTCGTGACTTTAAAATAGGAAGGATCCGTCTCTATACCTTCTGTGCTTCCTTCATTTGGATCGAACAATTCCCCTTTTAAAGACTTCTTTAGACTTGTCTTCCCTGTCCGAGCTTGCCCAATTATCATGATTGGCACTCTTCTGGCGTAACCGTATCCTTCTTTAAGTTCTCGATTGTAGACTGCCGTGGCCAGGAACCTCGGGCCAGAATATCTAACGGAACTGATGGCGTAAAATAAAACAACATCACTAAAAGAAAGCTGTATCTTTTAATACTTTATTTTAATACTTTAATAGGGATACTCCTAAAACAATGTACACTATACCAGGAGATAAAAATAAATAAATAAATAATTAAATAATAATTATGGATAAAAGAATTTACAAATCAACTCTAAAAAAGATATCTACATTATAAAATTACTATTTACAAGATTTTGTCTACACTAAAATTTAATATTATAATAACCTAATCATGGAAGTTATTGTGGGCATTATACCATTAGTGAAGGGAAAAATACCAGTAGTTACAAGTAACTTATTCCAGGCTACTATTGAACTTGGGTAGAACGAATATTTATAGACGTTACAACTGGATTGAATATGTAGGACAGGGAATGCATTGGGGGCTCGAGAAGCCCTTGTTAGTGAACATAGTTCAGATGGAAGGGAGATACCAACTAAACCTTGTTGGATTTCATAAAACATTGATAATTGGTACGAAAGTCTGCGTTGTTCAAGAGTGTCCGAACCAAGCTGTTTTAACGTGGGAGTAACATGACTAAAATTTGAGTAGTCTCTAAAAACGAACCTTGCTGCTCTATGCTGAACTAGTTCGATTTGGTGAATATTCCGTTTAGTATACGGGTTCCACACAGAGCAAGCATACTCTAGTTAAGGACGCATAAAGGTAGTGTATGCCTTGGATTTGACATCCGTGGAACAATCGGACAACACCCTTCTCAGAAGACCAATCGTGCTATTAGCCTTACTACAACTATTATCACAATGTTGATTCCAGTTAAGATTATGAGTTACAGTTACTCCAAAATATTTGGTGGAGGCTGATTAAGCAATAACCATATCATTCATGAGATAATTATAGGAAAAGGGGACAACCTAATTAGTAATCCCTAAGTGATAACATTTGATGATATTAAAGTTTAGTTGCCAGGTTTCAGCCCATTCACATAAGCTGGTTAAGTCTTGCTGGACCAGTGCATGATCACAAGTATTCTTAATCTCTCTATACACAATGTTGTCATCTGCAAAGATACGCATTGTTGACTGGATGAGATCAGTAATATCGTTAATTTATAGTAAGAATAAAACAGGTCCCAGTACTGAGCCTTGGGGTACACCAGCAGGTACAGGCCGAGGGCGGAGTGAGTGCCATTTACAGACACCACTTGGGAGCGATTGCCTAAGAAGGCCTTGATCCATGCCGCGGTCTTTCCACATATTCCATAATCAAGTTTTAATAGTAAACACGAGAAGCGTTGTCTAAATCCATCTTGCTGATCGATCAGGAAATTGTTTGCGGCCAAGTGTTTTGCAATGTGACTCAAATAATGTGTTCCATAACCTTACAACATATAGGGCGGTAATTAGCAGGGTTTGACTTTGAATGCTTTTTATGAATAGCTGTAACCAGGGCTTTAGTCAAGTCAGAGGGTACTTGTCCTGTGTCATAGGACTGCTGAAATATAGAACTAAGCCAAGGTGCAATAGATGGGGCCAGTTCTTTAAGAACACGGGCTGGAATTTCATCCGGACCACAAGCTTTTATTGGGTTTAATTGAAGAAGTTGTTTATGTACCCCCTGAGGTGAGATGTCGATGTCAGAAATAAGGTTGTACGGGGAGGTAGTTTTAGTAGGGATTGGTAGTTTCTCTTGAGTAAATACTGAGTAGAAACAGGAATTAAGTGCCTCAGATTTGCTTTTATCAGAAGTGCACAGGTTACTGCCATATCGCAGAGGGGGTATACCAATATCCTCTGATTTACAAGATCTGACATAAGACCAAACGTTTTTGGAGTTCTCCTGAAGGCCTGTCCTGATAACATTCTTCAAGTAATCACTACAAGATTCTTAAACAATCCTTGAAACGAGGTTCCGTTGTTTCTTAAACGCCACCCAATGGTCTGGTTTCTGGTAGCGGAGAACTTTCTTATGCAATCGATCTTTCTTTCTCGTTTGACGTTTGACATTTGCAACAACAAGGTGTCAGAAAAGATATGCTTTGAATCTCAACATCATATAAATTAAGGGATATGAATATGGCACCCGCAGTTTAATCCCTATAAAGTTGAAGTTTAATCCCGATAAATGTGAAACAATGAGAATAACACACAAACAAGATAAGTCGAAAGAGAGCTATACACTTGATCCAAATGGTAAAAATTCTAAAGAGTGTGAAAAATATCTCGGTATTACAATACGGTAACCGTACGATCTATCATGGAGCGATCATATTCACGAAGTGGTCAATAAAGCCAACAAGGTCCTTGGGGTCATTAAGCGCGTGCTTGGGTCTAATAGTGTAAATGAATTTTCTTTGTTATACAAATCTCTAGTAAGGCTGATACTGGAGTATGCAGCTCCAGTGTTGTGCCCCTTTCTAGTAAGTCCAGAGGAGAGTGTCGAGACTGGCTCTAGGCCAACAAAGGGGTGAAATGGACTACGAGGAACGTTGTTCCATTTTAAAGTGGTCACCATTAAAGAATCGAAGACTGTATTTTTCTCTGATCGAGTGTTATAAATGTATATTTTCTTTAAATAATCTCGAATTTCAAGACTTTTTCCAGTTAGCGTCAAAACGAACGAAAAGTAATCATAATTACAAGTTGAAGTTTCAAGCATCTAGTTGTAATTGTTACAAATATTCATTTTTTGTGAGAATTGTAAAAGAATGGAACGATTTACCTGCGTGGGTTGTCGGGGCGGGAAATCTTGCATGTTTTAAGCGTTCTTTAGGATCATTTTTAAATATCTCGTCGCATTTTCTCTTTAATTCTTAAATATTGCCTTTATTTTTAGCTACCTTTTTGAACGTACATTTTTATCATTACAATTTAATATAAGAATATTTTTAAGATTTCTCTTTTGGGAGATTTTTACATAGGGCCAAACTCTTAAACTCCCTTTTCGAAGCACTCTTTGTCTATATTTGTCTTTGTTTTTAAATGCTTTGAATATGCATCAGTGTATGTACGTAAATATATGGAAATTAATCGGCATGCTAATTAATAGGAACTCTAACATCTCGTCTACCCTATAACAATAAATATTATACAGACAGAATTAGCGTGAGTAATAAGTTAAATGGACATTTCATTAAACACACAACACGTATACTGTCTAATTCGAAACAGCTTCATGTTTGGAGAAACCTGTGATAAAGAGGAAACAGACCGTTTCTAATTGCTAATAAGGTACCCTAGGTGTTTCTGCTAACTGCCTACATGTATAACCTCAGCTTTGTAATGTTATTAAAGCAATATTTACATACACTAATATTTAGCCAAGCCTGAAAGCGAAGTTTCCGTTTATATAAAATCATTAAACATTAAGTAATAAATCCTTAAGAAATCCGGCTTCTTGTATTTAGTGGGGTAATGAAATCAGTCAGGCCTTGGCTGAGAGTAGGAGATAAAGTATGAAAAATTCCTAACCACTACATTTCAGTTTAAGCCGTGGGTGTGTGTATGTAAATAATTAAGTTTTTGACTGGAACGGGATGTTTCCATTTCCAAAGATATCTTCGAGTCCAGCAAGCAAGGCGACAAATTAGTGTGCCGTGCTCTTGTTCAAAATACAGACGTAACTCCATGTGTAACCACCCCTCGTAAACGACCACCTCCCATAAGCGACCACCGATCCAAAACACCAAACGTTTTCCAGTCAAAGCCTTATACTTGGAGCCACCTCTCGTAAACGAACACCGCTCGAAAGGGACCGATACCACCACTGACGTGGTGTCTTTTTCCAGTTGAGGTCTCGACACATCGACTGTTTGTAAGAGAATTCCAGTATTTATGCAATTTGAAGTTTTGAAATGTTTAGTTCCATCGCGTTGAACCTCTCTAATACGAACACCGAAGGAACAGAGTGAAGTGTCCGGATTAGAGAGGTGTCCGTATAACAGAGGTCACTATGATGACGTCACTTTTATGACCCCACTTAACGTTTTAAGTGTTCAGTAGATAAGACCAGGCTCACACTCGTCTTTAAACTGCATTTAAAGTTACTAATTCACAGTACAAAGACACCGTCTTTCAGTAGCATACAACACTGTACATCTCAGCTACAGACAAATTGCCATTTAAAACGAAACGAGCTACAGCGCAATGCTGCATGTAAAAAGTTGTAACGTAAAACACGCCTGCCATACGGAGGTTGAGCCCGCAGTAACTGCGGCAGGCAAAACTTGGTTTTCTTACGTCATCTATTCTTGCATGAAAGTTACACTTCGATGTCAACTAAATGGCGCAGTTATCGAATTGTTATTTATTTTTTTCATCGCTCGAGGCTGCTCGTTATAAGCTTTTTTTCTTAAACAAAATTTCCACTACTGGCCTTTAACCTACCATATGAAAGGTTTTCTGACTTCTTCTTACTTCCACGAAATCAATTACGTCCCAGAGACTGTGGAAAACGCAGCAAAACACAAGCAGACAAACGCGTCGCTTCAATAAATATTGACGGGAAATTGGAAAGTGAGTACAATGCTGTCTTTAATTTACAGGTTTTCTCTTTAAATTATTGAAGAACATCATGTTTTCTCCGAAAAAACAAGTTTCCAACTGACATGTCCATTGTACCAACATATTTTCATCAAAGGGTAATGTAGCGGTCTATCGGGATCTCCACCAAGACGCATTATCGCGACTACACAAAAAGCTAAGGAAAGGATTCGGGAACTATTTAACTTCCATCTGTCAGACGGATGAATTGTTGGAGTTTCCTCTACCTCTAGTTTCAAAAATAATACCCACCTCAGCGTTTTTGTACCAAACACTTAGAGATAAATCAGGTGAAATCGTTGAGGGAGCTGTTAAGGAATAATTGACCGATCTATGTGTCTCCTTCTCTTCCGCGTGACCTCGTCACTATGCGAAACATTAGGAAAGATTGGTTCACCCCAGACAGCCGATGGCTGCAATTTGTTGATGAAAACAGTGGACAGAAGTCGCTGTTGGTACAGGTATATGTAAT